ATATATGAATATATATATATATATATGAATATATATATATATATATGAATATATATATATATATATATGAATATATATATAGTGGGTGGGTGCTTCATGCTCGTGGGTGATGTGAAGCGATGGTGTGGTAGCCTAAGTAGTGTTAAGAGCTTGCATGCCTTCTCGCTTACAGCTGCCACCGCTGGCTAGCCTGGTGCGAAAAGGGAGCAGCTTTGCATAAGACTCCCCTGCCAGCTCATAGCCTCTCCATCATCAAGACTTCTGCAGTGCCTCCTCGTGGCCACCCATGGAAACTAGGTACCTTGCGGTCCTAGGCTGAACTGTGGAGGCTCTTGGAGCAGCAGGAGGCCCTAAAGGTACGGAGTCATGGCCCACCGGCGTGTGGACACGCCCTGGCTTCGTACCAACTCCTGCCCCCCCCGTGCCCCCCGGGGTTAAGGGGAGGCTGTGGGGGGGTAGGCCTTGCCAGTCTGCCCCTCCGAGACAACCAAACTGGCAACGATCCATAAAGAAGTTGGTGCTGGGGGGAGGGCTAAAGCCCCTCCTACCCAGCAAGAACGGCAGGCTGTGGGTCCCTCTGGGTTGGCAACCGCTGGGACTCAGGCGGGAGGGGGGGTTACCCTTCATCCCCTCTGGGTCCCAGCGGCCGCCAGCCTGGCGTGATGCTTGTGGGGGAAAGCCCCCGGGAGCCCTGCAGGTGGATTAGGGGACCTGCAGCCAGCCAACCTCTATATGGGGCGGCGTCGGTGGGGGTGGCAGAGGTGGCGCCCACCCGGAGGACTGCCAGAGGTTAACCTCAGGCGGGCTGTCAGGGTGGGGGCTTGGAACGTCCGTTCCCTGCGACAGGATGATCGGTTACCACTACTGTCGAGGGAATTGAAGCGGCTGAGAGTTGAGGTGGTTGCTCTCTCGGAGGTGAGAAGACCTGGCAGCGGCACGATTAGTGTGGGTGGCTACACTTACTACTGGTCGGGCCGCAGCGATGGCCACCATCTCCAGGGAGTAGCCATAGCCATCTCCAGCCGACTTCAACCCTCGGTAGTAGAGGTCACTCAGTCGATGAGCGTTTAATGGTATTAAGACTGAAGCTGTTCATTTGGCTTCATGTCTCTTATGCTGTGTACGCTCCTACGGATGTATATAACTTTGAGGTGAAAGAGATGTTCTACACCAACTTGCATCTGTGGCAGACAGTTGTCCTCGGCGAGATATTCGTATGGTTTTGGGCGACTTCAATTCGGTATCCGGATGTGATCGAGCTGGCTACGAGATGTCTGTCGGTCCCCATGGCTCAGGAGCTGATGCTGGCAGCGAGAATAGCCCTCCTTTTCCGTGACTTTGCTAGGTCCAGAAATTGAGGATCTCTGGCTCCTGGTATCAGCGTTCTGACCCGCATCGCTGGACTTGGTACAGCGATACGGGTAGGGTGGCAAGGAGATCGACCACAGCCTCGTCCGCACTCGGTGGAGGATCCTCCAGAAACTGCAGGGTGTATCGAACGCCGAGTTCTGTGGAACTGGATCATAGATTAGTTGTGGCTACTCTCGGGTCCACTTTAAAAACCCACCGTCGACCAAATGAGCACCCCAGGTGTTTCATCTGGAAAGACTGAGGGAGGGATGGTGTGCCCGGGGGTTTGCTGAGGTATCTCTGTTCGGTTCACAGCACTCGAGGGCCTGACGGACCCTGTTGTTATGTGGGATTCCTTCAAGCGTGAAACGCTTGATGCAGCTCAGGAATCCATGGTGACGCCCTTTAGAGCAAGACAGAATACCATCTGAGGAGACACTGGAAGCACAGAAGCTTGCCGTGCAGCTCGATGTAGGGGATCGCCAATCTGCACCGTTCTCTGGCGCGCAGGCACTAAGGTCACGCTGAGAAGGGATAATGAACAGTTAATCAGTATCTTTCAGAGGAGGTCGAAAGCCGTTTCTAGTAAATGACCTTCGTCCTGCTACAAAGCCCTGCAGAAAGCTGAACTCCAAGCCCTACTCACGACGACGGCAGTCCGCTCAGCGAGTGGTAGGTAATCACAGATCCTGATGGGGGGTGCGGTGCGTTGGGCTGAGTATTTTTGAGCAGCGTATCAGGTTGATTCCACCAACAGTTAACTTGTATGCTGGGAATGTTGAGACTCCTCTGCCAGACCCACTCATCAGCGAGGATCCACCCTCCCTGACTGAAGTCAGGGGGGCGATCTCCAAGCTGACGAGTGGTTAAAGCAGCAGGTGTCTGTGGCATCCAGCTGAATTGTTAAAGGCTGGTGGAGAACCTATGGCAAGGGGCTTGCATGCAGTCCTGTCTGCCATCTGGCAGACCGGTACCATTCCCCCTGACCTACTTAGGGGTATGGTCATCCCTCTCTGGAAGGGGAAAGGGGATCGGTGGGACTGCAGCAATCACCGAGGCATTACACTGCTCAGTGTGCCAGGCAAGGTACTCGCCCACATCTTACTGAGACGTATCAGAGACCACCTTCTGAGGCACCAAAGACCGGAGCAATCTGGATTCACTCCTGGTAAGTCCACAATAG